GGATGGTTGGGGGCCTGCTCCTGGAATATCTTTAGCCCAAGCCAGATTGCCTTATGAAGGTGGCTTTAATCTACCAAATTTCCCACTTTATACCAGTCTTTCACTTGAACTTTAGAGAGTAGGTGTGTGACCTCTTTGAAATCTTGGCAAGTTCTAAGGTTTAGTAAACAGGTATTTTCATTGCCAGCCTTGAAAGCTGTAAGATGTCTTTGGTTCCTAATAGGTAACGTTCAAGATTTGACCCAGAATCACCCGAGAAATTGACACTCCGGAATCATCCAAATTTAAAGATGTATTATTGGAACCCTTAGGCCAAACAAGGGATACCAATTGATTTTTAATGGTCATTTTAAAGATTTTGAGAGAGCATCCTCTGACTATGATCACCCTTAGCTTCTGCTTGGCAACATATATAGTTGGAACTTGTATGACCCAGATGCTTTAGCACCTTCAGAGGCTCCTGGAATCCTAGGATTGTTCGAGGCTCAGCGCTTGAAGCGAAACCAATCATTCAATTTTTCATGAAATTAAAAAAATAAAATGAAAGTTAGCATTACTCATATACCTGAAATGTGGAATGAAGAATTGGCATATGCAGTGTTAGAAAATCAATTGATCGCTGTCTTAAGAAATATAAAATATAACTTCTTATGGTTTAAGAATGAAGCTAATTCATCAGAAAATAATATTTCATGTTTATTGGACATATCAGTGAATGTTTAAAAAAGGTCAAATACCAGATTTTTTTGTGTTGGCATTCTAAGAAATGTGAGGGCTTTTTAAGACAGAGTTTGATTTCAGTTTCAAGGTACAGTGTATATTAATACAGTACAGTTTTGGAAAAAAACCAAAGAGGTTGTCAGGGACTGGATGATGTGAGGGAAGGAAGCATTTCAAAAAGACTCCTGCCTTCAGTAACTCACCATAAGTCTGGCTAGGAATTCACTCTTACAGTGTTCAAGGCTGTATTTTAACCCCCTGACTAGCATTAAAGGTGCCCTTCTGAGTTAGTGTGCATCTCACTTGGGGTGCGCTGGCCACATGAGCCTTGAGAGAAGGGGAGAAACAGGCTCAGACCCCACCTGAGGGAAACCAAATGGCTTGTGGTGCAAGTGGGCCAACTTTACTGCCAGTGGAGTTGTGCTCCCGAGAAAGGGCGGGCTGGCAGAGGGTGGGTCCTCTTAGAAGAGCAGGGAAGCTGTGCGGAGGAAGGCCTTTGCCTTCCTATGGAAGAGGGTGTGCTGAAAGCAGCCATGGATGCCCTGGTCACCTCTGGTTTGATTACTGTAATTGGTCCTGGGTGCGGCGGCCTGGAAAATGCAGGGGGCTGGGTGCAGCTCAGGGCCTGGCTATCAGCGGGTTGCCTTTCCCAGGTGGATTCTGCCTGCTGAAGGCAGTGGGAGGAGGCCAATGTCTGGGGGTGGGGGTCGCCTCCTATGGAACAGCCTTAAGCTATTGTTTTAGTTGAGTATTAGGGTCTGTAAAGTGCCTAGAGTCACTTGGATTGAGGTGGTCATTAAATCAGATAAATCACATAAAATCATAACCTTTCTGTGCCCTTCTGTCTTGCAAGCCCACCCTGCATTCCTACTTTGTCCTTAGTTCTAGAAGAGAGCTGGTGTGGACAGCCCTAACCCTAGAATTGATTGGATTGCCACTGCCCGCATTCCTCACTGTTGCACGATAAAGAGTGAGTTGGAATTCATCCATATTGTCCATTTCTGCAGCAGAGCAAAAGAAAGTAGAAACAATTCTGGACAGTGCTGTTATCGTGTGGTGCTGTCAAATTCTAGGATCTGATCTACTAGGAGGGGCTAATTGTGACCAATTGAAAGCTTTCAGAATTTATTTGAATCTGCAGAGTTTATTCTGCAGCTGCTCTTTTTACTCTTTTTACATGATTTATGCTGGTTATACTAATCTTGGGGAGTGGCAAGTAACTGTAGAATATTCGAGCTCTGCACCCAACCCTTTGAATATTAACTCTCTTTCTCTCTCACACACAAAGGCCTACCTGTCTCATTTACCTGCTTATTTATTTCAATTTATGTTCCTGACTTTCCATCTCCCTGACTTCCATATATATATTTATTCAGGGTGTACTAAAAGTCAGGCCCCATAGACAGTTTATTATATGAATTACATTAAATGCTCAAATTGGTTGCCATTTTCTTCTGAACACTTCCTTACTTGACATGTGACCTTTGAACATTTCTAAGTATAGTACTATTTTCTTTAAAAAAATACTAAAAGTAATAAAACATACAGGTAGTCCTCACTTAACGACCACAATAGGGACAGGAAAATTGGATGTTAAGCAGGGCATTCATTAAGCAAGTAACCACATGACAGTACCTGATTTTATGACCATTTTACCCAGGGTCGTTAAGTGAATCACGTGGTTATTAAGCAAATCATGTGGTCGTTAAGCGAATCCAGCTTCCCCAATGGACTTTTTTTGCCGGAATTCACTTAACCTCATGATTCGTTTCATGACTGCAGTAATCCACTTAATGACCATAAAAAAGGTCACAAATTGTGATCATGTGACCGTGGGGTGTGTGTGACAGTTTGCGACAGTCATAAGTGCGAGTACAGGTTGTAAAACACTTTTTATAGGCCATCATAACTTTGAACCATCGTTAAATGAACAGTTGTTAAGCAAGGACTACCTATATTATGATTGGGGCTCGACATGTGGTACACCCCGCAGTATATATTGGTGAGTGTCAAAGTGTCTGGTGTCAAAGCAACTGTCCTGGATGAAACCCAGAGCATCCCGGAGTACATGAATAAGATGGCACCCAAAGGTGAGCTGCTCAGAGAAGGCCTGAGGCAGCAGTAGATACGGGAGGAAGTTCCAGCAGAGGAAGTACCATGGCAAGACAAGACCCTGCATGGGATGTACCATTGACAGATAGCTGAGGTGGCTGACACTGGGAAATCCTACCAGTGGCTGGAAAGGGCTGGACTAAAAGACAGCACTGAGGCACTGATCACAGCAGCACAAGAACACGCACTAAGCCCCAGATCCATAGAAGCAGGGGTTTACCACACTAGACAGGACCCAAGGTGCAGGCTGTGCAGAGAGGCCTCAGAGACAGTCCAACACATAGTGGCAGGGGGTAAGATGCAGGCAGGAACAGTGTACACTGAATGGCACTAGATGTAGCAGTGCCAAGTGACAGCAACATCAGGAAGAAGGAGTATAAGAAGCTGGAGAAGTACCAGGCCTGAACTAGACAGGATGTGGAAAGTAAAAGCCAAAGTGGTCCCAGTGGTGGTAGGAGCGCTCGGGGCTGTGACTCCTACGCTGGGAGAGTGGCTGCAACAGATCCCAGGAACAACATCAGAGCTCTGTGTCCAGAAGAGCCAGTGCGAGGAACAGCTCAGATACTGTGCAGAAGCCTCAAACTCCCAGACCTCTGGTAGAGGACCCGCAATTGAGGAAGATACTATCACCCATAGGGTGAGGAGGGATATATGAGAGCTAGTTTGGTGTAGTAGTTAAGGCACCAAGCTAGAAGCTGGGAGGCTTCTAGTCCTGCCTTAGGCATGAAGCCAGCAGGGTGACTTTGGGCCTGTCACTTCTCTTAGCCCTGGGAAGGAGGCAGTGGCAAGCCACTTCTGAAAAATGCTGCCAAGAGAATTGCAGGGACTTGTCCAGGCTGTTGGCAGTAGTGAAGACTGACATGAAGGTGCGCACATGTGCGTGCGCATGCACACACATACACACACACATATCTGTTTAAAATAGGCCACTCTAAATAGACCCCTCTTGACTCTTTCCTTAAAGCCCAAGAGGAACTCCTATGCCCTTCAGAAGAGCAATTTCCCCAGCATAAAAGCAGCCCTTGAAAAGAGCCTCTCTGTCTGCCCTTAGGGCTCAAACAGATGGTACCCAGGCCAGGGGTGCTTAGGGCCTGAAAGGGGCCAGGAAACAATGCCCAGTGTGAATTTGGCAATGTATACATCAGGTGATCCCAAATGTGAATTAGTTAGCAGCCAAATGGTCTCACATTGCAGCTGTTGAAGCTTTTGGACACCATTTGGGGGTTTCTTCGCTCTTGCATAGTCCCCTGCTTTCTTCTTTGTAAAAATAGAGTGCGATCAGGCCATCACAATGACTGCTGTGAGGGTAGAGAAGGCCCATTTGTGGGGTGACAGGTGTGCAGCAGTTTGTGTTTTGACCAAGTGTGGTGCCGAGTCAGTCTTTCCCTGTTCCAGAGGCCATTAAGAGATCACTAGTATTTCAAGATCATGGTCTTGGCCTACGTTTATTCATCTATAACTTTAAAAAGAAAACATAAGGGTGCCCAAGGGAAAATTAGAATGAAATAGAATTTTCAAATGAAATTAAATGCTTGTGTTCTGGTGCAAAATAGACGCTCTATTCACCAGTTCTGTTCCTGATGCTACTTGTAAATATTTTTTAGAAACATAAACAGACAAAGAGCAAAAGAAAGAAATGTACTTGAAAAGAAAAAAATGGGAAAGAGGCATGGCATATGGCTCTTGGCAGACCTCTGCAGTGGGTTTCAGCTGGGAGATGCAGCAGAGGACGCCCTGGGGTGGGAGCAGGGCTCACTCCTGCTGGCTGAGTCTGAAGCTTGGCTTGTAAACAGTTGGAACAAGTTGCAGTTTGCTGGAAGGGAGGAGAAGATACAGGGTTTGTTTCTCTGTCTCCAGCTTTGTGCTGAACAGGGCCCCGGGATCGTTCAAAGAGCCTTGTCAGGTGGGTCAGCATACTGTGGTATCCATGTGGATATCCGGGGTGTGGGGTGAGAATGTCAGTTCCTATAGTTTGGTTGCATGTGGCTATTTTGTGAAAGGAGAAACCATTTTGCATTCTTGCAGCAGGAAGGAGGCTGGAGTAACTCCTGAGGCAAGAGGAGAAGCTGACTTCCTTCTTTCATGTTGGGGAAGCAACCCTGAACTGACTGTTGTGCTTTCTAACCAAGAAGAAGAGGAACAGGCTTGTCCAGAGCGGGACACCAGGACGCCTGGGTGCTACCATGAGAGCCCCGCTTGAGAAAGAAGCAGGGAGCATCCTGTTTGTGTCAGTTCTGTAGTTGCTGTACAGCCTTAACCTCATCAGTAGCCAATTATGCACCCCTCACATTCATCAATGCTTGGCCCCTCTTCCACTGCTCACTCCAGTTGCATTAGTTCATGCTGATCAGACATGAAGTCCTCTCATTGACGTGTAACAGACTCTCAGTACAGTACAGCGACTCCCTCTTGCTTCTGTCCTACTTTCCAGCCGGGTTACCAGCACTTACCTTCTTCTCTTTCCATGATGGTGCTATCACCCAGTTAAACAGTGCGTAAACAGCTTTGCTTCTCTTTTTCCCAGTGTAGCATAGTTTAAAGCCACGGAGGCAGGGAGCCTTCTCCACTCCCTTCTTAAAATGGTTTCCCCTTTCACCCTATTTGAATCTTCTCCAGCCAGTGGGGCAACTTTAGCATCTTCAAATAATGCGCCTTCCTTCTCTCCGGAAAATAAAGGTAGTAGCTTTATTTTAACACGTGACAGTATTCTCAGTTAGAGCCCTTGGAAAATTAAAGGAGCGAGTCCTTAGCCTTCATACGCATGCAAAAAAACCCCGTTTACTGGACAGCACCTCCCTTAGAAGGGGTGTTGAGTATCAGGATAGGTGCTTCCATTCCACCTAAAGCAACTGAAGCTTTGTAGTCTTCTTCGTCTCCCCGCCTCCTAATGCTGAGGAGAATAAAGAGCAAGGATCGCTATCAGCCCCTAGTTGCTGCAGGACACTGAGAAATAAACATTTCCTCAGCCCCGTTCTCTGCTGAGGGGCAAGGAAATCTATTTCACTCACACAGCCAGTCCATTTTCTTCATTCCTGGTCATACGTAAAAAGAGACACTGTCTAGCTCATGTAAGTGTCATGCCAGAAGATCAGACTCCACCTTGGCCTGAAGAAGACTTTAGGCCAGGACCTGAATGCTGTCTGCTAAGAAAGAAAGGGCAGCCCCGAAGCAGGCCCCAGGTTAGTGAAACTGGTCAGAGGAAGACAGGTCAGGTTACATGGTGATGATTTCCGTGTTTATCCTGACTTTCCAACCCTGGGTGGAAAAGAATGGTGTTCATGGGAAGATGGAGTCACCATTAAGGATTTGTTGATGGACAAAACTGAGGGATGAGCATCTGTCTTTAAGCAGGCTTTAATGGTGGCCTACCCTCAGCTGAGCTGCTTTGTCTTCCAACCATACTGAAATTAAGGCTGTGCAGCACTTGGGAGTGTAGATGTAGCACTTTAAAACGGCATGTGATTCAGGGAAAAGATGTGTCTGCTTTAACACTCTGCTTGTCCAGGTATTTACTGAATGTACTTCACACTAGTATAGCGGTATGTCATATGAAACACAGGATTTGAAGTTCATTCTGTTCTGATTTCTTTTTTCTTCTCTTTCCCTTTTTTTGCAGGTTCATGTCTGGGACGGGGCTGGTCATTTATCCAGAAATTGGGGACAAACTGGACATAATCTGTCCAAAGGCAGAGCCATCCAAACCGTATGAGTACTACAAGTTGTACCTAGTGAAACGGGACCAAGCCGAGTCCTGCAGCACTGTCATGGACCCCAACGTGCTGGTGACCTGCAACAGGCCTGAGCTGGAAATCCGTTTTACCATCAAATTTCAGGAGTTCAGCCCCAACTACATGGGCTTGGAATTCAAGAGACACCAGGATTACTTTATCACATGTGAGTGTCCCCCCACCCCCATCTTCCTCTTCTTCAGTGCTAGCTTTCCCTTCTAGACTCCTCTGGAGTAGGCCCTTTTTGGAGGGGGGTCTCACTAGTCACTCTCTTCTAGTTTCCACCCAGGACACGTTTTCATCTCTCCACTAGGAAGCACACTTCAGTTCAGTTACCCTAAGTTAGGTGCCCTGTAGAGCCATCTTGTTACCTGTGCCTCCTTTGACAAATTCTGAATTTAAAGTTACTTCCTCTTGTGCAGCTGTCCTGGATGCACAAGAGGAAGGAGAAACATTTCTCAGCTGCTTGATTTTCCACACACTCCATGTGGGTGAGCCAAGAATGCTGCTGTCAAAGCACAAGGCTGCTGTTTGCCTGTGCAAAAGTCGCATGGAAAAAAACAGGAGCAAGCCACTTTTAAATCTGGAAAAGGTTTTTGGATTTGCTCTGTTAAAGCAGAGTAGCCTTGAGAAACAGCCTGAAGGGAGATGTGAAACAAATTCAAGAGTCTGTTTGCTGAGTGCTGGGAACATTTCTGATTGTTTTAATCCAGATGTTTCAAATCTCTGAGGGCAGAGATTGAAACCAAACCAAGTTTCCGGTTAGAAGCCCTTCCCGCACCTCATCTGTGATTGCTTCGATGGCCCTTATATTGTGCTGGAATTGAATTTTTGTTTCTCCCAAGCACTGTCCTGCTTTAACTGTAGCAACAGAGCATTTGTGGCTCTTCAGGAGAATGCAATGGTTCCCTTTGCTTGCTGATTTGGTTGCTGCCCACCTTCGGGCATCTCTTTTAAGGATATCTTTTAGTCTGGGAGGTGCTAGTCTGAGGAGCTGTTTTGGTGAAGACTTCAGACCCGCACAGCAGGAGCTGGAATGAAATGTGCTGCGTGTTCCTCCTTTTGGGCACGTGTCGGGTGCCTTCTCATGTTGTTAAATAGAGCTCTATGCCAGGTCTCACAGACATACCTGGGACCAGCTAGTGTGTCTTGTTACCTCCACAGCTGTTTCTCCTCACCATTCCCCCAGAGGGTGCCCCTCTTTCCCATCTCCCCACATCAAAGGTTTCAGTCCTCAGTTCCCTTGTACCTATGGGTTTAGTTACCATTAAAGGCTGCTCAGCGGAGCAGCAATTAGTTGACTGTGTAAGAGTTCCTCCCAGGCTCTTGTGAATCTCATTGTAATGGTATGTGGGAATGACCTTGGGAAACAGGAGGAAGAGGTGCGGACTGGACAAGCGGCATGTAAAAGCTCTATCTCAGTCCATAGAAGGAGAAGGAGTGTGGGAAGCGTTTCAGAAGGGACCCTCCCTAGTTTTCCAGAGAGTAAAAGGAGAAGAGAGTCTTGCAAGATTCTGTTAATGTAACTTTACAATAAAGATAGAGTTAGTACTCATAGTTGTGCTTCTTGTCTGGACTACCTTGAAGGGCTAACATAATTTGTGGGACCTCATTTAGTTTTGGGGCATCACATAGGCAATAGAAGGGCGTATGGCCATGGAATATATCCCATTCTTAGAAATGGCATGTTCTCCATCTGTATGTCCACAAGGAGCTTTCTTCTGTTATGATTGGGGAAGATGAATTCTGGGGGTGGGGTGGGATGGAGAGAGGTATAGTATCGTCACTTGACTGGAGGTCCTGCTCAGCCCATCTGGATTCTTCCAGCTTACATTATTTCAAAAGCTAAAGTTATTAGCCCTTTTTGTGAATGCCAAATTACTGGGGCTTCAGAGGAGTAGTTTCAGTGCCGCTCAAATTAGCAGAAAAATTAAAAAGAGGTCATTATGGAATGACCTCCACTTTGTTAGATGCATGAACTGCTGTTGTCAGTATATGCACATTCATATATAGGAGGTGGCTGATACATTAACAAAATGTAAAAGTTGCAGTTACTGACAATTTAATTGGGATTTCAGTGGAAGCAAAAGATACACTGTAATCATTTAGAAAAGGAGAAGTAGGTACTAGCTCAATCTACAGTGTAGATAGGTAAATTAATACTTGGAGCAGGAAGAACAACCATCGTCTCCAACATTCTCTTACAGGCTCCTGACTTACTCTTTCTAATGTCAAGATTTGTGTTATTTGTCAAATGCTGAAGGGCATTGTTGGTAGGTGATACAGTTTGAAAAGGAGGTGCTGACTGACTCTCCTGTGGCTGACTTTACTAGACCCATGGCAAGATGAATCATTTTAGGTTTAGTCTTTGTTCAGCCCTTGGCACTGAGGGCCGGTTCACAGGACCAGAGCTGAACATACATAACATCTGGTCCTGCTTATTCTCCCTCCCAATGAACTTCCCTCATTTCATTAATTTGGGGGAATGAGGGAGGAATAATTTTGTTTCTGCTATATCTACTTTTTATATTGCCATGGAGAACACATGGAATGCTTCTAACCAGTGGCTATGGGAGTCAACCAGGGTTTCTTTCCTATTTTCTTCTGGGCCTGCCCTGTCTAGATTATTCCAGAATACTAGTTTGGGGGTTCTTTCCTTCATTTCCACCCTCCACTTCACTGAGTGGGCATACTGTTTATGCACTTGTTTGGCCTTAATTCCTGTCTGAAGAGTTGAAAACAGGACAGCTAAGAATGACCGCTTATAGCTTTTAGATAATTACAGACTTGGACCAGAAGTTTCCTTCCAGGCTGTCCCTTAGTCCCACTGTGAACTTTTAAAGGGTGTTAGGAAATTGAAAGCAGATGCCTGTTTGGCCTAACCCTTTCCAGCAGAGGTTTCCACCAGATCTTATTCAGAAACGTATGATTTCCTACTGTGTGGAAGGCTTCATTTCTCTGGCTTTAAAAGGACCAATCACTTTGCTGCTACCTTGGTCAAATTAAAAGAGGTTCTGGAATAGCAAAAGAATCACTGAGGCACATGAGCAGAGAGCAGGGCAAAAGGGCTGGCAGAATCAGAAAGGGGGAAGAGAGATCAAGATGTGTGATGAGAACTCCTGCTGTAATCTGTTGGTGATTATTTGATCATCACTTCATATGGAAGGGAACAGGTATTTCAACAAATTTAATATTAATGCTCAGATTTGTTGTTCCGTGTTGTATTTCTACTTTGATATAGGCAGCAGTTTCCAGAACTTTCCTGAACTCTGCTTTGACTGCCTAAAGCTCAGGTCAAGTAAGACAGAAGTATTTTGATGGGGGGTGGGAGATGGGAGGCAGTAACTCTAGGGCACCTATTCTAGATGATCATAAGAGTATGGAACATAAAAGTTGGAAGAGTTCTTGTAGATAATCTAGTCCAACCCCCAGCCCAGTGCAGGAATCCATTACTAGAGCATCGCCAAAGATGGACCTCCAGCCTCGGTTTCAACATCTCTAGCAAAGGCAAATCTATCACCTTCTGAGGCAGTCTGTTCCACTGCTGAACAGCTCTTACCATTAGGATTTTTTTCCTGATGTCAAGATGAAATCATGTTCTTGTAATTTAAACTCATTGGTGTTTTTTGTGTTCTGGTACAACTTTGAATAATTCTGCCTAGTTTTCTACATGTCATCACTTCAGATGCTTGAAGACAATTTTCATGTCTCCCCCACAGTCTTCTCCAGGCTAAATACATATAATGCCTATGACTTATAAGTTTTTCCTTCCAGGCCCCTTATTTTCTTGGTTCCTTTCTTCTAGACATGATCCAGATATCAGTGTCCTTAAAATGAGGTGTCCACAGTGGAATTCAGTATATGAGGTGTGATCTGACCAAAGCAGACTAGAGAGGACCAAGGACTTCTCTTGATCTCAATACTACATTTCAGCTGATGCGTTTCATTTTTTTGCAACCGCATCACACTGTTGGTTCACGTTCAGTTTGTGATCCACCAAGCCACCCTGATTCCTTTCATGTGAACAGCTGCATTCTCTCCATGAGATTAGTCTATTATCTGTAGTCCTGCACATATAGCTGAAATGCAAACCTCAGGAGCCTCAACCAACTTTGGCTAATGATAAGAGTTTCTTGAAATTGAGCAAGCTGGAGAATCACAGGCTCTCCACCTCTCTTTAAAGACATAAATGATCTCTGTGGCATTTTACCAGTTAGGATAAAATAAAACAACTACAACTGGATAATGAAACTAGACTTCCATTTTCTGCATTCTGGTAACATTTCTTCTAAATTAGAACAATATGTTACTTATGGATTATGTCTGAAAACAATATAGAAACTTTGGTATGGCAGTTATTAACTAGAACCTGTATCAGGACTCTTAATGGTTCCAGTAATTCCAATTTCATGTCTGCATCCAGTACAAGATACTGGTCTTTGCTATAAAGCCCTTCTTAGTATCTCCTTCCTTCATTCCAGTCGCCCAG